ACCAAGATACTCATGTAATGGTACAAGATCCCAATGATGTATGTAACTGTATTTTATACCTAAAATGTACCAATAAACTTAATGGGGAAAAAATGTTTAAGGGAGGATATGCAAATGCTACTCCAGTTTTTATAAGAGACTTGAGCATCTTCAAAAGGATAAATGGCCTGGCTCTTGGGATACTTCCCTTTGGAATCCTGCCCTGGTCCTGTTGGGTTTGTGTGCCACAAGGAGAGACCATGTTTAAGTATTCCAGTTGACAGCCATAGCTGAGCTCCCACCTACCTCAGTGTGTGAGTCACCTTGGACAGCCAGGCCAGTTAAACCCTTAGATGGCCCCAGCCCCAGCTGATGTCTCACTGCAACTACATCAGAGCCTCCAAGCACTGGTTGGTTGAGCCTAGACAACCCACAGGCCTGTGAGAGGTAATCATTATTGCTGTCTTAAGCCACTAAATTTTGGGGTGGTTGGATAGGCAGCAGTACCTAATGGAAACACACCATTTAATCACCTTCAAACTCGCTTGCCCTTTTAGTCTATTTTATAGAAAGAAAACCTGACAGTCAGAGAGGTTAAGTAGTTGTCTAAAGTCACATAGAAAGTGGCAAAGCTCTTTCTATAAATCTATTTGATTCCAAATTCTGGATTTTTAACCTTCATTACCAAAGAGCCTCTTTTTCCATTTAATCATATATTGCTAACTATACTAGTTTGATATAGACAACTACAGCTAAAAATTATAAAATTCATTACAATTGTACAATAACAGCTTTAACTTTACCATTAATTATCTATCAGATTTTAAAACTATTTGGTTATGCCATGTAAAGCTAGACTAATTCTTTCTACTTTCCATTGCTATTTTGGCCAAACTACTGACCCAGTCTTTGTAGATATGTATACAAATATACAAAATACAAGGTCAAAATACAGGCCCCTGCATCTCTCCCCAGGTTGGTCATTACTTTCTCCAACTTGCACGCACCTGTTTCTCCCACCTGCCACCTCCATGGGACCTGTGTCCTTTGCTCAAGGCATATTCTGCAAATGATACCCAAATGTCAATTCTGGACAGGCACCATGCTTGATACTGAAGACTCAGAAGCTGGGATCCTGACCATCCACTAAAAGATGAGCAGAAGAGCAAGCAAACAGGCATCACTCATGACAGGTTTGTGGACTGGCTCCTGATGACCCGTCGCATTTGCTCTTCTCCTTTCCCCTCCACTAGATTCACCCTGCACTGAGCTTTTTCAAGGCCCTGACCATGGTCATTTCTCATCCTGCCTTGCCCGTGCCATTTTGTCACATTTCCTTACGTGACAAGCCTCAGCATAAGACTTAACAGATTCCCCTGTCATTGTTTGCTACTTTGTGTCTCTCTCCTTTTAGACCAAGCCCCTTCAAAGTGAGAACTGGCTTTTTCATTTTGTTTTCCATGCCTTTTTAAAGCAACAGATCAGATCTATTACATGTAATAAGCATGAGTCAAACAACAAAGCTAGGTTAACAAATACAAGCATCTTAGCTCAGTGTCGCCATCAGCACTCAATTAACTTTGCACTTTTTATTGGTTGTTGAGTTTGAAAACTTGGAGGGCCACATGAGCAGCAGAAGGCATAGATTTGAAGACTGAGCCTCACAGCCTCTGAGGAGGATAAATACTGACTCAGAAGGTTGCCCCCAAATAACCTGGCAGCCTGCAAAGTCATTGGATAGCAATTGTGCAAATGAAGAAACAGACAAGGTATGTATAGAT